GCGTTTCGGGGTCTGTAAACAATCTTTTTTTTATTAAGCCTTCAGAGTGGGAAGATTTTGAAACGCCGTTTTCGCGTTACCATCTTTAAGCTCTAACCGCATTTTATTCCTTACACGCATGCGTCATAGCGTCGCCTCTAAACACGCATGCGCGACACAGTATCACAACAACAATGGCGCCGTACTGTGTTGAATGGTTGCTGCTCATGCTACTCACCCTGCTGTCGGGCTTACAACAGAATCTTCTTCTTCTGGAATATCTCCAGGAAGAACAGAGCAAATCGACGACATAGTTCAGCACCTGAATTTGACTGAACCACGAAAATGGACCCGCAGGGCAACCATGTATAAATATTAGTGCGCATGCCCAACATTTCGTCGCCTATTTTTGCTTTGGCACCACAGCGCCACTTACAGGCCTGGCATACATTTTGCAGCGTTTTCATGCATTCGTGTGGACGATCACATTTATTTTACGTCTCCGTCTTTACGACAAACGTTCTGGAAAATATTAGTGTTTCGTGTTCGTTTTGACTTCGTGTGGACGGGGCCATAAACCCTGACCATAATGGAGGCAAATGAGACCTGTAGAGCTTCAAGTGCTTAAAGCTAACCTACTAGATTAAGGCCCCATCCACACGAAGTCAAAACGAACACAAAACGCTAATATTTTCCAGAACGTTTGTCGTAAAGAAGGAGACGTAAAATAAATGTGATCGTCCACACGAATGCATGAAAACACTGCAAAATGTATGCCAGGCCTGAAAGTGGCACTGTAGTGCCAAAGCAAAAATAGGCAACGAAATGTTGGGCATGCGCACTAATATTTATACATGGTTGCCCTGCGGGTCCATTTTCGTGGTTCAGTCAAATTCAGGTGCTGAACTATGTCGTCGATATTGCTCTGTTCTTCCTGGAGAGATTCTGTTGTAAGCCCGACAGCAGGGTGAGTAGCATGAGCAGCAACCATTCAACACAGTACGGCGCCATATTTGTTGTGATACTGTATCGCGCATGCGTGTTTAAGGCGACGCTATGACGCATGCGTGTAAGGAATAAAATGCGGTTAGAGCTTAAAGATGGAAAAGCGAAAACGGCGTTTCAAAATCTTCCCACTCTGAGGGCTTAATAAAAAAAAGATCGTTTACAGACCCCTGAAACGCCGGCTTCGTATGGATGAGAGGCTGGTTTGGTGAAAAATTTGTGCATTTAGGCCAGGGTTTGACTTCGTGTGGACGGGGCCTAAACGTTGGTCATGTATGAGGCAGGCAGGGCTCTTTCAGTAAGGTTTATTGTTTGTTTTATTTTTTTTACTTCTTTTGGTGAACAGTGATTCTAACTGTGGTTAACTGAGAAACGGCTTAGATCCCTTTCCACACTCATTAACGTGGTTTCTTATCTGTTCTTCCATTCCTTTATGTTAGTATATGATCTGTTGGTTGTTGAGATATTATTTCCTGCTTTATTGTCAAACAGGTTTCTTTTAGACACTTCTATAGCTCCACAGGTTTGGGTGCGGCTGGAAAAGCTGAATTCGGCTTGTACGATTACCACAGTTCATTTGTGTTTATTTATTATTTTTTAAAAGCATCTACTTGATCTATAACTTGTTTGAATACCTTAAACATTTTAATGTTAAAAAAAAAGCAAAGGAGGAGAAATCCATAAGGGAACAGAAATCTATTCACAGACGGGTTTGTGATGTAGGGGGAAATGTTGAAGAAAATTACTGGACAAGTTAAATGACAAAAGCTACCAGAAAAAAATAAACATCATGTAAGAATTAGCACTGATTAAATGTAGCCATAAATAGATGGCTGGCATGTAGATACACAGTAGTTCATGTTAAGCAGTGACACATATCTCAGCTTCACCATGACATCTAAAAGCTTCTAGATGTGTGCATTTATGCTGTGTGTACTTATATGCCAGTCTACATACTGTGTGCGCTTTTGTGTCAGCTCCTCACTAATGAGTTGAATGTCAACTTGTTGCTCATCAGAGCTCGTTGGAAGAGCGGGCCGACACTTAGAGCCCAATTACGCTCCACCACAAAGACCTCCTCCTTCAGAACACAATGCGCTCTCTGTTTGTGAATATGACAGCATGTGCAGCAAGAGAAAAAGGCCTAACAACCGGAAGGAAAGAGGTATAATAGAGGCGGCAGGCGGAGCCAAGATAAAGACCTGGACATGGGATGCTCTGGTGATGGAACGTCAACAATGAGAATCACGCAAAAAGTCTGCAGTTTAAAGGTTTAGTGAATAGAATAGAAAATCCATTTATTGTCCCACAAGGGGGAAATGTTGATGTTTTCAGCAGCAAAAAGATTATAGAATATAATGGAGGATGTTCTTTTTCAGGCTGCTCAGTGGCACAGTGGGTAGCACTGCTGCCTTGCAGCAAGAAGATTCTGGGTTCGGGGTCTTTCTGCATGGAGTTTGCATGTTCTCCCTGAGCATGCGTGGGTTCTCTCCGGGTACTCCAGCTTCCTCCCACAGTCCAAAAACATGACTGTTAGGTTAATTGACTTCTCTAAATTCTCCTTAGGTGTGAGAGTGTGCGTTGAATGGTTGTTTGTCCTGTTTGTCTCTGTGTTGCCCTGCGATGGACTGGCGACCTGTCCAGGGTGAATCCCATCTCTTGCCCGTAGACAGCTAGAGATAGGCACCAGCACACCTCACGACCCCACAAGCGTGTCAGATCATGGATGGATGTTCTTTTTCATCCATAATTTTTTCCGGGTGGATCATCGAAGTGGTCCTCCTAATTGTCAATCATTCTGGTGATATGTTTACGTAAGGCCGTCCTACGTTCTCATCCTTATTTTCCCTTACCGGTGGTGCGTCTGACATAGTGGAAAAATTGTGAGTCTTCTTTTGGGAAGTAAGCTTGCGTGAGCGATGCAAACAGCAACTTTATGGCAGAGCGTGCACAAGGAGAACCTTTAACTATGCAGAATTACTTTCATAAAAACTGAGAACGAAACAAAAGGATTAAAATAATAGCCTAGTAAACTAGCCCCACCCGCCAGCGGCCAATATCATTTTTGCCTGTAAGTTGGTCTAGCCTCGATCAATGCTCCTGGCCCTAGAACTGGCGGACCAATCACAACACAGAGATGTGTTTGGAATTTCTGAACGCAAAGCAGGCAGGGTTTTGAGGGCGGGAAGACAAAGTTGTGAAACGCTGGAGAAAGCACAACAAGCAAGATGGCTACAACTATTGACCAGTTGTCATTTGAATCAGCTTTGGAATCCGTTTTTGGAAGGATTAGACTTGGGGTTTTTGTTGAAACTTGAGCAGGAAGAGGCTCTACTCTCATTCATTTTTAAGAAGGACGTATTCGCCGATTTACCGACAGGCTGTTTGTTTACACTCCTCCACCAGCTTTCTGTCGCACTTACTACGTCACAGTCAGTTGCGCTCATCTGTCAGAGCGTTGGCCAAAAGCTACAGACATGGTTTGAAAAACAACGGGTTGGTCTCATCGACAATCTTCCGATGTCTCATTCATCGGAAGGGCTTTTATTACATTTAATGCAAGCATCATGTCAGCCTCTGTCGGAGCACAGAGACAGTTTTATTCCTCCATACTTGAGCTGACAAAGCTCATCCAATAACTTCCTGTCATTGTCCTGTCAGGTCAGGATGCACCGCCTGTTGTTCAGGCAGAATCTTTTTCAGCAATCATCAAAGGAGGATTCCTAGAACTTTGTGACAGGCTTCTTTAATCTGACAAAGTCTAAATGTATGAAGTTTATTCAAAGTTACCAGCAAAAAATAGAACTTAGCAACTTTGAGTTTTCAAACAAACAAGAAAACATCAATTTAAGCCTTTTATCTCATGTTTTGCTTCCTGTTGCAAAAAGAAAGAATGAGAAAAATGCATAGAGGGAAAAAACTGTCACTAGTGAAGCAACGGTGGTGTGTTTTTGCGCTGTGTCCTCCCAGGGTGCCCCAGTCACCACTAAACAGCGGAAACATTTAACTGTGATTTCTATCTCAAAGCCTCTGTTATGAAAAGAGCCTTAGACAGTAAGACTCTCCCTCTAACGTAAACACACAGACGACTCTTCACAGCAGTAACACTTCAGTTTATGCTTTTAGTTACGAGTAGGATTTTTGCAATTTGTATTTGGAACAAATGAAATAAAAACTAGGAGTATCTAATGGTGTATCTGTTCGCCCAAGTTTTAAAACACACAGGCTGAATTTTGACTTCATGAAAAAAACCTCTAAATAAGCATATTGTTGGGCAAAACTCATGGTTCTCAAATGACTTCACTCCAGGTCATTTCTTGGAGCTAAAAGAACGGCAGAGGAACCGTTCCTGGGACAATGGAGCCATGTTACACTCGGCCAAGCTGCACAAGTGATCCGGTTCAAGTCAGGTAATTCAGTAGGCCAAATAATTTATTACGATGCCATTAAAACAGTTGGGAACATATTGCACAGACGGGAGAAACAACAACCAACGGCTGCAAGTAGAGGCTTCAGAATAGAATCCAATCTGTATATATGGACTGGCCATAATATGAGGTACAGCTAGCTCAGACCAGGTTCAGGTAACATTTTGCTTTAGTTCTTTGAGGCATAAAGCAAAGAGGCCGGGAGTTTAGGGGTGTGATTAGAAGCATCAGTTTGTCTCAGAGAGTATGTATAAAGTAATGAGAAGACATTGCCATGCTTCATTGGTGTAGGAGGGAAATAAGCTTTTAATCTAAGAACAATAACCGTCACTGAAAAATGGAAAAGCCCAACATTATATCCTACTGGAGGATTAGTTTTCAAAAAGTTGGCAACCAGCTTGAAAGATCAGCAACCAGATGGAGGGATATTCTGTCACAAAAAAGCAACGCTGAGTTGTTGTTGTTTTTTTTATAAGATAATGTTATGTGTGATAGTAATGGTTTCCATGCTGTTTCTATGTTATTATTTATTTCCTGCCAAAGAAATAAAACCACAGTGCAGTAAGTACGAGTGCAAGAGTTACTCACCTCCAAGTCGTCCAGGGAGCGAGCCATGCTGAGGCGCTTGGAGCGCCCAAAAGAGCGTCTGGCTGAAGAGCGCTGGGGTAGAGGAGGGAATCCCATCGTCAAACCGCGGAACCGACCACCCTGAGGTCAATAAGGGATAACATTAGGTTCAGCTGCTGTGCTCCAACAAAGGTCTTACTAAACACCTGTTTGCCACTTAGTGAGAAACCATTGAAGTAGGCTAATTAATAAGAATCTACAGGTTCTGACTGTAGGTTCTTTTCCTCTTCTTCTCTGCTCAAAGACGGTCCTAAACTCAAGGAACCAGTAAGATAAATAGTTGAACAGGATCCTGTGTGCTCTGAATGTAACTTCAGAGTTGTTGTTGTTTTTTTGTATACTCTAACTAGAAAATTATGTAGAACTCGTGTGTTGTGTTTTATATCACCAGTTCATATTCACCCAAAACATGGGCTCTTGTAAACATGTATGTCTGTGAATTTTTTTATTTACAGCATCCCTGCCTGTTTTTAAAAGGTGACTACAGCGATTTAAGATGCAGAGGCTGATAAAGATCAAAAATTTATATATGTACTTTGGAAAACAAATTGTTTTGGAAGGTTTTCTTGGCACTGCCTGTACGGTAGCACAGTTGGTAGCACCGATGCCTTCCACCAAGAAGGCACTGGGTTGGATTCCTTGAGTCCACATGTTGCATGTTCTTCCAATGCATGCATGGGTTCTCTCTGGGTACTCCGGGTTCCTCCCACAGTCCAAGAACATGACAGCAGTAATAATGGTAATAATAATAATTAGTAAAAGCATTATTAACTTCTTTTTAAGGGTTCCTGAAAAATTACAGTAAAAAAAAAAAAAACTTCAAAGAAAATCCAACCCATCTAATATGAGGTACAGTAGAATCTTTTTTTGTTTTTTCACCACACATCTCTTTAGAGAAGATTTAGATGAAACACAGTTCAAAGAAATTGAACACCTTCTTCTTTAGTTAGATCTTTAGTTGCCTCTAGCTCGCTTTGAGATCTCGTCACAGTTCATCTTTACATTGTTTGGTTTTCTTTTAGAATTTTTAAAGACAACGTGAGCAATGAAGAGTGTTACACTCACCTGGCCATTAAAGAGGACTTTCAACTCATTCATGTTAATGTCTCAAATTACAAATAACTTACAAACTTAAGTATGACTACAGGCAGTGAAAATACAACAAATAGGGAAAACTGACTTATAACTTCTTCTAAGAGAACTAAGCTTTAAAGAGCTGGGAAAACACCTAGAAATGTGTCTGGGACTGTATGTTTTCCTAATTGGAGCACATTTTATCCCCTACATACTACATTCCACATGGTATAAGCATGCATGTACAGTCCTGTTGTTCTCCAACTGTTACATCAATCTCACGGTCCTAATGCAAAGATTACAAAAAACCTGCATAATTACCATGACATAGTCTAAAACAAAATCCAGAAATCAAAATATTTGGTTTTTTAACTATTTATTTGTATAATACAGCCTAGATTATATCTCTCACAGTGGAAATGCACCTACAATGACAATTTTAGACATGATTACTTAGTGGGAGAACTTGTAAAATAGCAGTGTGTTCAAATACGTATTTTCCTCACTCTATATGCACCATCTCTGTCACATGGTTTGGTATTTGGAGATACCAACTAATGACGGAGAGCAGCAGGTTAGAAAAACATTAAAACTTTATGATGTTTGCAGACGTGCTGCCATGGAAAAGTGCTAATTGGAGTAAGACTCCAACATCCCTGCAGCGAGACACTGCCAGAAACCTCAGAGCATCACATCAGTCACATGGATGACCCAAAGCAAATTGAAAATGACGTCATCTCACTGAGGACTGACTGCTGCAAATAAATCACAGTAGACGGCGATTCATCAGCGGTCGCTCTGACAGCTGCTGCATTTCCACAAACAAACTGAACTACGTCTGACTGTAGACGGCAGCATTCTAGACCGGACCCCAGGTCATAGAGGGAGACAGGTAATTAAACGACGCCGACAGGTTTGAGAGGACAGACGCGAGCTGAATCAGACCGCTTGTTTAGAAAGGCTGTTGCTGCGTTTCATCAGGCAGTTGCAGCGGTGTTGCCTGGATACAGAGTCAACTCTACGTCCGTGCATTCCCTCATACGTCCAGATAATAAAGATTCAAACAGCTGATTAAATGTGTAGGCACTACACTCCCTAACTTACTAACATATGACCTTTTTTTTAACCCCATTAGTAGTGCTGAACGTGAGGAAGGAAGCCAAAGACATTTTATGGAGAAACACAAATTGGGAAAGAACTGGTAAAGAGGAGGCTGTTCTTGGTGTTTTTATGGAAAAATAAAGCAGGAAAAATTAAAATCTCTTATCTGTGAGACTTATCCTCAACATTAAAACACACTGATAAACACATAATCAACAATACATTAAAAAATCCTTCATAACAACACATCTCTTCATATAATAAAGATTCACAAACAGAAAACTAAAACTAAATCAATGCAGCAGGCTGGGTTAATAAAAGCAGATATGTATTTTAACTAAGAATGCATCTGACCAAAAAGATGTATATATTATTTATCCATCCAGAAACTTTCAGACAAGTAAGCCAAAGCTTTTACATAAAAACATTAAGACACAACTTTGTTACAAGTGAAATTAACTCAAACTTTAACTCTGCACCTTCTTTAGGTATCACCATATTTCAGAGGTAATGAAAGCAGGGAAAATTGAATGAGCAGGACGCCTAGAGAGAGAAGTGAGACAGTGCCACCAAGTGTTAAACAAGGAGCAAACATCACCTGTTAATAGGTAGACATTTTTAGTTGTCTAACATTAATAACTAATACAGTGGAGCAAAGCCACTGAGGGAGGAAGCTTTCATGCTCCTGATACTAATTGTGAGATCTTTACCAGTCCATAACACCTTCAACGTTCATCTTCCCGAATGTCATTCTCTGCCCTGCTTTGGCATTGTTCCTACTTCCTCTGATTGTCCCTAGAGGGTCCCAGGAACCTCTCAGCCAATCAGCTTCAAGATTAAAAACATCTGCTTCCTCCAGTTTTAAGGGAGACTGGCTGCAGCGTTTGTCCTGCATTCAGCTCGAAGCAGAGGCTGTTTTCATTTATAAAGGTAGGATTAATGGAAATAATATATTCTTTACAATTAGAAAACATCTTTCTTAGACTTTACAGTAAATACAGTAAATGTGAGTCACAAGCAGAGGAGAGTAGTGATAGATCATATTTCTACTTTAGTAAGACTAAACAAGTATTTTGTAACTGATCTAATTATTAACCATGATCATAACAACAAACATTAGAGTATTTTACAAAAATGATGTAAAATTGGACAAAATATTCAGTGATATGCACATTCTGGTGTTTCAAAGAATGAGATGGAGATAAACATATAACATGCCATAATTATACAATAAAATATTGAAACAGAATTAAGACTGTTCAAAATACATATTTTTAGATATAAAACATTAATAGTCAAAGTATGTAGAACAGGTTAAATTCTAGTGTACTGTTTACTGTACTCTCACTCAGGTGACTCAGCAGATGGAAATTACAGTTTAACCAAACAAACAAAAATAAGTGTGTCTCTTAATGGTGCTTATTTGTTTAAGCTTGTTTTCATTAAGTGAAGTTACTCATAATGGATGGAGCAGCAAAAAAATTGACTCAAGTAAGAGTAGAGCTAACTTAACATATTTTTGCTCAAGAAGAAGTAAAAAGTACAACGCTGTAAAACTACTGTAAAAGTAACTGAGTAAGTGTATTTAAAAAAATATCTAATATCTGATCATCTCTAAAAATAAACATCCTATAATTCTTCTCATTTCAGAGGCGGGATTAGGAGCCCTGCCTCTAACCTAACTCTCCCTACCGCTGCACACTGCTGGGCAGCTGGCTGAAAGAAGGCTGCTCCAGTTTTCCATCACTAAGGGGCCAGAAACATGATCCCGTATTTCCACTTCAAAATGATGCACAGAGCCAAGGGGCAGCGATACAACAAGCTCGACAAGGCATGGATATTATGGTGATGATGCAGTTGGTGGAGTTTAGGCAACGTGTCTGTAAACCAGCCGTCTGCAGGCTGGCTACCATCGCAGACACTACAATTATACCCACATAATATCACTTTAATATTTTCTATACTGTTTCTGTGATAGAATAAAGGCTATAAAGATCATAGCCAGCAAAACCTTTAATAGATGTCACAGACAGCACTATGACAATAACAATCTACTTATCAGTCAGTAAATTAGACTATGTCAGATGTTTTTGTATAATTACTGAGAATCCTTTATATATTTTTGTAAAGGTTTTCTGAGTGAATCCCATAACAAACCAACCCATTACTATTCTGAAGCATACAGGCATGTATTATAACACAATGCCAAGATCTAAAACCAACAGCAGTGATGGCTGCTTCCCTTCTAGAAAAGGTTTAGGGTCATTTTTTTAATCATCTATTCTAGAGGCTCTGATTCTGTAGTAACGGATTATCTACAAACAGGTGGATCTTTTCCAGATGGGGGGTGATTTCCTCCAAGTTTTCCTCGAGCTCAGATATTGTGGTGCCATCGTGTGTTTTTTTTGTTGTTTATTTTTTTTACATAGAGAGCTCTAAAAGTTAAAGTTTGGGCCTCAGAAAGAAGATACCTGTTAAAAGTTCCTATTTGTGCTTAGACAGAGAACGCTTTATTGTTAAGGGTGAACTTCTGTGCATATCAAGCTGTTACACAGTATGTTTAGTTTGAGAATACACCACAGCTGAAGGTTAGACGAAAATATTTCATGAAAGAACACAACAAACTCAAACACAGTGGCAGATGGGTTAGGGTATTCCAGTGGCTGGAAACCCAAACCTCAAAGTGTTTCAGCGGTAAGAGTGAGAAAGCTCTGCATAAAGACCTGCTACAGCTGAGAATAAGATAAAGAAGAAAAGGCCTGAAGAAAAATGCTAATGCTGTGACAAAAAGAAAGAGAATACCCTGAACATAAAACACTACAGTAGAGTGGATTAGAGAAAAACATCTAACAGTTTATTATTTTAGTCAAGAACCTGTGGATGGATTGTCAAAATGTTCCTCATGTGCTTTAGTCAAAGTGGATAGTTGGGTTTTTATTTTTGCTTTCTTGGTATAAACATTATATAAACAATATATGTGGAAATTAATCACCTGCATTTACAGAATTTCAAAATTCCCCAAACTGCGAGGAATCTGCTCCTTTGTGGAAGACAGGTGGTTTTCGGCTGACGGCAGATGTCCGCTTAGTGCATAATACATGATCTGATACTGGAGCAGAGAGGATAAATAACCCATCCGTGCATTTTATCAAGTCTAAGGAATCAGCCTGTTTCATTTGCTCAGTGTTATCAGTGTTTGTAAATGTTGGCTCTTTCTAACTGAGAAGTTTTAACGTCTAAGGAGGAAGGGTGTATGGGTTTTGGAGCCGCATGCTGTAAACATTAGACCTTGACGAGAGGACTCAAAATGCAGGGTGAGCACACATGGATTTATAGCCTCAATAATCTGTAACCTTGAACGCTCTCTAGTCAAAGTAAATTTCCAAACCAGGAATATGTGATGTGGGGGAGCAGCCTGTGACCAAGCTTTCTCATCTCCCAGTCACTTCTAACACCACTCTCTCACAGTCCCAAACAGAGCAGGACATTTGTGCTCTATTCAGAGCCTTTAGCTGAAACTTCCGAACAACATATGAGCAGGAATAAAAAGTGATCGAAGTTGCATTTGTTTAACTGACTTTGTTAAAAACGTACCTTTTTCTCTACCTCCTTGGAGTTTGCCTCTCGTTTTTTTTCTCTTTCAGCTTTCCTCGCTCTGTTACGCTCCCGGTCTCCGAACAGCTTCTTAGCCCACTCATCTTTCTGGGCGGTGAGCCGGTTGCTGTGTGGGTGTGAGGGAAGAGGAGGAGGAGGCTGACTGACCCCAGGTGGATGCATGTGGTCCCCTGGGGCCAGTGGGGCCCGGTAGCGGTCGGCAGGGATCTTATTCATAGGTGGGGGCAGGGTGCTGCAGTTGGCTGAGGACCATCCGTCGGTGGACTCGGCGTAGGACTCCTGATCGCTGCTCAGACCCTGGAAGTGGCTGTGGTGGTGGTGTTGCTGACGCCAGTCTCTCAGCACATGGACTGGCAGCCACCTCTGAGGTTCCACCCCTCCTCCAGCCCCTCTCCTGTCTCCTCCCACCATGGCTCCTCCCAGCTTCCCCGCTGAGTAGTGGTGCGGGTTGAGTCCTCGTGAGAGTCTGCTCGGCAGGTCAGGGTGAGCCAGAGGGAGAGGGTGAGGGAGCTCTGCAAGGTGCGCATCATGAAGGTAGTGACCATTTCTGAGCATCGGAGGAGGAGGAGGGGGCGGAGGGGGCGGGTGAGAGGCAGCAGCTCCCAGGATGGGGCTCCAGGCCTGCTGGGATGAAGGCGGGCTGTCCCAGTGACGTGCTCCAGACATGTGGGTGTGACTGGGAGGCCCTCCCAGGTCGACCAAAAGAACTCTGTTGCTCTTCTCCTCGGGTAAAAAGTTTCCGATTCCGCTATCGCTGTTGCTGCTGGTGCTGTGGTTCTGTTGGGCGTCGTTGTCTGGGTCGTGGAAAGCGCGGGCCCGAACCCCCTCAATATTATCTCCCATATCTCGGTAGAGGACGGAGACGAACTGGAGCAGAGGCTGGGAACTGGGGGGGAACTCCAGGCAGCCGCCTGTGTCTGGATCAGGAGTACACTCAAAGCCGAACCTTCTGGCTACCCCCATGTGGACCTGTCCGTGCAACAGAAACAACAATGATGCCATTTAGGAGAGTATTTATGCTCCCACACACAGCCTGTGAATTAAATGCATTTCTTCTTAGAGTATGTGATGAAGAGCAATAAGAATAAAAATTCAAGCTATGAAAAATAATGTATAATAATCATGTTTCACAAAAAACAATCAAAATACAACAAACTAAATGCTTCCAGCTGGTGGTATCACACTATTTGATTAGTTATAAGATCACATCTAAAAATAAAAAGTGATGAGCTGAAGTCACTCTGAGCTATAGAAGCATAACAAGAGGATTAATAAAAAAAAGATTTTCTAAAAAACACAAAAAAATATATGCAATTAGTTGATTTTATTGATTAATCACCCAGCCCTAATTCTGCTGCAGACAATTGCCTTAAAAAATCACCTAATTATATCAAACTAGTCCACCCGGGGTCACATGATCTGTCAGTAAAATCCCACTAATCAGGAAGTCCTCATGGACTGAACACCACCAAGCATTAAACCATGAACACCAAGGAGCTCTCTAAACTAGACATTAATGTAAGAGTGAGGTCATCTTTGATTTAGCACAATTTAAACATGGTACCAGAAAAAACTGACCCCCAGACCAAACCAGGCCAGGTGGGCATTAATTAGAGAGGGAGCACAGAGACAAAAGAGAGCAGCAGGTATGTTTTTAGTTGGTCAAAAAGTGTTTTGGTGACTCTTAAAATGAATGGAGGGAGAAGTTCTCGTCAGATGAGACTAAAGTTGAGCTTTTAAGTCACCAAGGAAAAGGCTTGTCACCAAGACATTACCATCGTCACTGTGAAACATGGTAGCGGCAGCAGCATACTGTGGCAATGGTTTTCAGCAGCAGGGACTGGGAAACTGGTCATAGTCAAGGGGAAATGGGTGTTGCTAAATACAGGGAAGTTCTTGAGAAAAAAATAACCACAAGTCTGGTTGTAAATTGGGGCTGGGAGGATAAGTTAGACATTAGCTACGTTTACATGCGCAAAATTTCCCCAATCCGACCAAACCTTGGTTGATCGGAAATTCAAAATCTCCGTTTACATGGACACTAAATGAAATGGTCCGATCATGACGTGTGTATACATGTACCAAGCGTTGGATCAGATTAAATCTTTTAAGCATGCGCAGAACTTCCTGCCAAACTTGGCAGTTCTGTCTGCGTCTGGTTTTTGGGAGGCCTGACAAACGATGCGCTCGGAGCGAGCGGAAAGAAAAAAGGAGAGAGGAGGAAAAAAAGCGCTTGGCAGCGAAATGTACGAGAGAAAATGTAGAGAATGAGCGATTGAACCGGCGTGGGAGAGCGAGTGGGCTGTGGAGAGAGAAAAGAGGAAGAGGAGGAGGATAAATTCCTGCTTCCTGCAGCTTTAAATGAACTTGAGTGTATAAGTCGGCGTTCCTAGACTCCCCCCGCCATGATGTTCACAGCGAGAGCGAGAGCGACCGGTGGTTTCCTGTTGTTGACAAGGCGGAAAAACGTCACGCTGACGTCGCACACATGCGCAGTGAAGATTATTTTACTCTTAAGATCCGAATGGGTGTTTACATGGACGCCAATTGGAATGGCGATCAGCAAAAACCACCTCTCTCTTTCGGAATTAAATTTAGATCCGATCGGACCGAATCGGATTAGAATCTTCAGTCTGACATGTTTACATGAAACATTTTTGATCTGATCAGGCCTTCAATCCGATTAGTTGTGTCCATGTAAACGTAGCTAATGACCTAAAGAGTTCTGCTATAGCAACTATAGTGATTTAAAAGGAAAACGTTTAAATGTGTTTGATTGACCTAAAAAAATTTTAGACTTTAATTGAAATGAGAATCTATGGATACACTTGAGGATCGTTGTTCACAAGTCAAACACATCAAACATGAAGCAGATGGAAGTTTCCCTGAAGTAAGGGCAAAAATCCAAGATGAGGATTCAGCTAAGGCTTCTTTGCCATAGATCTGGCAAACCTCATAGAGGCAAATTCAAAATAACCCGGAAAAAATTTCAAACTTTATGGATCACAGAGATGATTTCTGGGGTCTTGAAATCTACTGTAAGACCAAAATTTGTATTTGTTTCTTAGAGAACTAAGTCTAGTCCTCCTAATATAAGAGTTAGTAGCAAACAGCAAGCCGCTGGTAGAAAGTTGCCATTAGAGGAAAAACTTGTTTGTTCCAATCATATGTTAAGGAAAAGAGACCTCTGGTCATAGGGGAACGAAATTAAACCTTTTTTTTCCAATTACTTAGGTTGGGCTTACCTGGTGATGACATAGTTCCGGGTCCACAATGAACACATGGCACGAGGTCCTCAGACACCCCTCTTCGTCCCGCCCGTTGCTGAAGTAACGGCCGTTGTGGTCGTCTGTGGCTTGCATGGTCACCAGTCCGAAGAAGCGACGATCGTCGGGACAGCAGGCGCTAAAGGCTAGTTTCTCTGCAGGATAGGTGGCCAGAACCTGACCTCTGTCGCTGCACAGGAGCACGCTGTCATGCAGGACCTGTTCAGATCAAACCGATGCAACTTACTACCTCATAGACTATAAGGTTTCCACATGTAGAAAGTATAGTTAGGTAAGTGCATGCTTCAATTAATCCTTTTGTTTTGGTGTTGATACAAATGGAAGTTAATGTTTGATCTAGGCTACATTTATTCAATAAGATTATGGTTAAAGGCCCTGTTACACATTAATCTTGGTGCTGATTGACTGGCTTAATTACTCATTTCATTCACCTGTCCAATTCTGCCCGGTTTCTCATTACCCTTATCTAATCCACCTGCTACTGCCTCTATTTAAGCTGCTTTCATCCAGTCATCAGGGCCAGATTATTTCACTGAAGCGAGTAAAGAGATTATTCTCCAGCCTGTGGTAAGAGTGTTTTTAGCGTACCTTAGTGTTTCTGATTTCCTTGTCTGTCTCTCAACCTCTGAGCCTGCCTGTTCCTGTTCTGTTTGCCTGACCTGGATTCGGACTCCTGCTTGCTCTCCGGGGCTGCAGCATCTGGAACACTCTGAGCGACGACGCCGCATCTTGTTGGCAGCCCACCACCTGGATCCTAACTTGTTCTTTGGGCACGGACTGAACGGTTAAGGCAAAGTGTCCTGCCTTAGGTGTCCTAGCAGCTGTTACCACAGATCTGTTTGTATTAAATCAACACTTTTTGAGTAATTCCACTGTCTTGCCTCGAATACTGGGTCCTTTGTTCTAAGCCGTGACAATCTGGTTCAAACTGGCATCTAATAAGCTTTTAATCACAGTCCACAAAAATTCAGAAACTCTTAAGTCAGTAAATCCAGAAACGTAATGTTAACCCAGCTTTTTTCCAATCCAAAAGCAGTTTTATTTGGTATCATTATTGGAACACCCTGCACTCGCTGCATTTCAACCATCTACCTGGTAAATTGAGCTACAGTTACTGGAGTTGGATATAGCTCTCCATCTGTTCATTTGTCTACAATGTTCAATGTATTACAGCTAGAAATTAAACATACCCCAAACCTGATTCTACCACCTCAGTGTTAGTTGGTTTGAAAAGCTCATGTTGACTCCTCTAAACAGCTCAGTCTTTATCTCTCCTGATAGTAAAAATGTTCTGTACACGGCATCTGACTTTTCAAAGTATGCAGCTTTAAATCAAGGTTGGTCAACCCTGAAGGTGTCAACTTTTGAGCATTTTCTCTTGGTCGGTATTCTCAAGCCTCATCCTGGATATTTCTGCAAGTGAACAGTTTATGGTGGGGCTGGAAATATTCAATATTCAATTAAATATTTGGAGGACTATGCTTATAAGGCGGAGTCTGATTCATGAAACCTAGCAGCTAAAGAAGAAGAGCTGTCAGGGAATTCCAAAGGGCTTGATGATGGAAAAGCAAAAGTGTTTGGTTTCTCTAGGATGTGTTCAGGGTCTAGCGACTAAATAGCAACGGTAGCTCAGTAATTTTACTTATTTTTTCTAACATAGCAGCAGCCTTAAAAATAACTGTTTAAAAGTGTTTAAAGTAACAAGAAGCATCAAGTGAACCTTCATGAGGACCAGTGAATGAATCTTTTGCTCCGCCCTCAGGCGCCTCATGCTCCCTCTGATGGCTTGCAGACTGTCGTTCTCCAGGTTGGTGCCTGTTGAGGCGAGCTCTATGGAGCCCAGGTACCCCACGATCATCCCCACGTTGAGGATTTCCTCACTGGGCTCCAGACCAAAGTCAGCACCCTCTCCTACATCCATGTCTTGCTCTTCATGATGGTGAAGGTGGAGGTGACGGAAGTTGGACTCCAGGAAGACGGAGTCATCATTCAGCACCTGGGCCATCTCCTCCTCGGAGAGGAGGTTGGGGTTGCTCTGGGAACAGGAGGCGTTCCGGTACGGATGGAACTCTGGATCAGACAGCCGACGCGGCTTTGAGGAGAGGCTGACCCCAGGTCTGTCCTTGTCGGAGCTGCTGGACGAGTGGCTGGAGTTTTCAAAGATCATGTTAAAGATCCCTCCAGATTGAAGCTCTGCCACCACCTTCTCTGCTCTGTTGATGCCAAGCTGTTTGGAATCCACTCTGGGTTTGTACCAGCCTCCTTTAGTTCCACAGCCCGACCGGCCGTTATTGCTGTTGCTTGCACCATTGCTGTAAAAAACGTCCAGCTCATCATCGCTGGAGCAGGAATCCAGGTAAGCCGGCCCCATAGCATTGCTGCTGTGGTGTCGACCTCCAGCAGCGCGCTGAGGGTGGCGTCTGTGGCGCTCTGCCTCAGCAATGACAAGCTTCAGAACCCCAGAGCAGCGTCCGATCAGTTTGACCACATCTTCATGCGAAGCCTTGGAGACGTTGATGTCATTGACTGAGAGAATGCAGTCTCCTGAGCGCAGTCCCACATAGTCTGCAGGACTTCCTTTAAGGATGCAGCTGAGGACACAAGGCCCTTGGCCTGTCAGTGTGAAGCCATACCCTGTTCTTCCTCTTGCAACCTCTACCGCCTGAATACAACCGTACTGGACAGTGGCAGACAGTTGCGAGGGCTGAGGAAAGATCAAGCCACTTCCTGCACAGGGGCGTCTCTTGGACGCCGAATCCATTTGCCTGGACATTGTGCCAGGAAACCTTTTCTTGTCCATCAAACGGATGGTTTCAGTTGATCATTTTACGCTCTGGGTTGGAGGCATGTCCGACATCTGTCTCAGCTGGCCTGCTTCCAAAAGATGAGCAGCAGCTCAGAATGCAGCACATAGGTGAGAAGAAGACTTCAAGGTTTAACACAACCCTGTGAGGGATCCCATCACGGTGTCAGTCCTTCTTTCTGCCAAAAGACACCTGAGGCAGAACATGAGAAAGCAGTCACTTTATCAGGATCATTTAAAGCTGTTCAAGTTTATTTCACACATAATCAATGAAACCATCATCAAAGAGTAACTTTATTTAAGTGATCCCATTCAAAAATGGAAATTTTGCATTTAATTTTGCGGCTTCTGATGATAATGACCTAATGTTTTTAGGATGATTAAAACATTGTCTGAAAACCAAGACAAATGTATATCTAGTGTATAAACGTTGAAATATGCCATCTTAACTGCAGGCAGTTCTGATGATTTCCACATGATAAGCAACAAGACACTGCTCACAGAGCTGTATGATAGAAATTGTATCAAGGCGATAAGGGGAAGGAAAAGAACAGCAGTAAAGATGGACATGAAACAGAGTTACACAAACTACAAAGTTAATTTAAATCAAGTTCTAGAAGAAGAGTACATAAGAGGTCCAGTTTGAAGTATCCCCAGGCAGTTGTGATCTGAGGAGCCATGTCATGTGCTGTGTTGGTTCACTGTGTGAAGACAGAGCAATTCAATTCAGTTCAATTTCAATTCAGTTTATTTCTATAGCGCCAATTTACATCACATGTTATCTCAAGGCCCTTTACAGTTCACCAGATCATACAGTCAAATTGATTTAAAGTTTTCTATCTAAGGAAAACCAGTTGATTGCATCGACTCATTGACTTGAGAGCAATCCCTCACACTAAGCATGCTTGTAGCGACAGTGGAGAGGAAAAACTCCCTTTTAACAGGAAGGAACCTCCAGCAGAACCAGGCTCAGTGTGAGCGACCATCTACTGAGGCCGACTGGGGTTCAAGGAGACAGAAGCAGAGATACAAAAAGCAGCTGTAAAAGGCTTACTGATTTTATTTACCCACAGGATTTGGCACCTGTATGACTGCGGTGTTGGTGTAATTGAAACAGGATAATAATCATGTTGCAAAAGCAAGTCCCAGTTTACTGGTGATTGCTCATTATGAACAGTAGATGAATGCACCTTTCAGCAGGCCAACACCTGGGTACCAATATCCTTGATTAAGGTGGTCCTATGTTACCTCTCTCATTTTCTGACAGACTTTTTTGTTTCCTTTTTCTTACCTACAAGCCACAATCAATAAATGTGTGTTTTTGATTAATTTTTTTTGTTTTTTTTTAACCAACTTAGTCCAGATTTAGATTCATTTTCCTGTAATCACAAACAGTGTGTCCTCATGTTTACCTCCAATAGGTGGGACAGGTGAGAGGTGGTGCTGCAGGTACACCTATAAGGACATATCTGAGTTCTGTAACGATTTAATGTCAATATTTGTTTTATTTTTCTTTGCTCATGTTTAACTGTCTCAACTTAAACTATTGGACTTTTTTGTAAAAGGAATCCATGTTCATAATTGACATGTTTACATTGACGTTCGCTTCGTTAGGTGAGCATGCTAGTAGAGTTAGCCATGGCTGTTAGCTGTTCCAGACGGCATGCAATCAAAATCGCCGACTTTAACCTGTCACGGCTGCATGTTTGCAATCAGTTTAGGTCCGTTTCACAAAGTTTCCTCCTTTCAGTTAAGTCCCCTGTCGTGGCGTTCACACACCCGTGCTACAGCTTGAGGCCCCGCCTCTTTTTGTTCCACATCTTTGGAATGTCGGTCTGTTACCTTAGCAACGGAACTATACACAGACCCGTTCTGCTCTCTCATTGGTTCTCCCCGCTGTCTGTCAACGGGTCGCGCTGATAAAACTGACCAAGAAGTTAGCCTGAGAAATCACAAGTAAAACTTCTAACGGTAACGGATTCCACAGGTGTCAGTAAGCGCCGCGAGCCTCAAACTGCAGAAGCTGCCATTTTTAAAAAAAGCAAAACGTTTCTAATTAAAGTAGTGAGGGAGGGAAACTATGTTTACAACGACTTTATAGCTGGCTAAAAAAAAAAGGAAAAAAAAAAGAAAGACGTCCGAGTTGGGATGGCCAAGTTAAAGATGTGGACGCAGGTTCCTTTTTCTTTCCTGGTAAATGTGTTTGCAGCAACGGGTTCACTCATGCGGAGATTTGAAACAGGACTTACGTGCGTGTCCAGCGGTGATGCTGCTCAGAGACATCCCATAGTTCTGTCGCTAAGCTATGTTAGGTAAACTCTGAGGCGATGGGTAAACAAAAGAAAAAGACTGCACCATCTGGCGAAGGAGGAGGAGGATTGGGAGGAGGTGTGTTTAGAGTGGGCAGCAGGGAAAAGGGCGTGCAGACGTGGTGGGACCCCCTGACTGAAGCACAGGCTTTTAGTTTAGGAGGCTTTATCATGTCCAGTATGGAAGCAAATCGTTACCATATTTCAAATGAAAAATCATTTCCAGAAATGCTTTTTCATTTTAAGAATGTGGAGGCATTTTTTGACTCATAAATGAAATTAGTAATCAATAAACCTGTTTGCATTTTCTTCTTTAACACTGCTCATCCTTTTACTTAATTAAAATGAAAAAGACATTTGAGATTTATTTTTCAAAATGTACCCCAGCATATACATACCAACATTCTATTTGAAATGTACAATTTGAAAATTAAAAAGTATTTATACCCCAAGACATGCCAGATTTCAACATGATATAGCAAAGCAGACAGTGGTACTTTTAATTACTATGTTAATAACTGTGTATAGTTCATTAGATCAGTTGGTAAGAAAATATGCTTATATAACATGTTTCAAACCGCAATAAAGATCTTAAAAGAACGACGTATTTGAGTATTTTATTTTTTACTCTACAACTTGGAATTCTAGGTAATCCAGAGGTGTTGTACTGCATATGGGGCCCACCCAGATAATGTTGCTGTCGGCCCTATTGTTGTGTTGTTACGCCATTGACTAAAACAATACTGTACTGGTGACTTTTAGATTGAAGCTTAACTTCAACGTAAAAAAAACTTTCATATTTGATCTTTTTTTATAGGTTCAAGCATTTTGAATAGAGATAGAGTTAAAATCCGTTTATACTCTGGATTATTTGTTGATTTAGGTTAAACATGTCACCCATCTAAGCTGCTGCTCTGAAGCTGAAATCCAGTCAATTAATTCAAAAAGTAAAAATAATAAATTCCACTCACTCCTTTTTAACTATTTTGAGGATTATTATTCCTTAATTAAAATAATTTTTTCCTCTAAATGACAATATTGCATGACTAATTTAAAATTTTATTTAAGACAGTGTTATATTATGGTCTTTGATAATAATAATTGAACTTTATTAATCTCACACTGGCAGAGGTAACAAAGTACAAATACTGACTGTACTTAAGTACACTTTTACTCATTACATTTTCAAACAAGTATCTGTGCTTTCTATTCCTTAAATTTTTTAAAACAAACGTTACTCATTACTCTTGGCACTATCTCAAAAAAATGTCAAATTAGTCTAAAAATTGAGCTTTCAATTCCTATATTGGCATCTGGCTGTTTCTTTAAAGGTTACTTTATACTTTTATACTTTAAGTAGTTTTTGGAGCACATACTTTTTCACTTTCACTTGAGTAAAGAGGTCAAGTTGATACTTTTACCAGATTGTTTTGAAACTGCAGTATCTATACTTCTACTTAAGTAATAAATGTGTTTACTTTTGACACTGGAGAAATTTTCCTCTGCATTTAACCCATCCCCTCTGGGGAGCAGTGGGCTGCCATTGTGCGGCGCCCGGGGAGCAGTGTGGGGTTAAGTCTTGCTCAGGGACCCAGAGTGTCAGTCCGTGGAAGTTGGGCTTGAACTCAGAATCTCTGGGGGCCAAGAGCAATGCCCTAACCACTAGGCCGCCACATGACAGAGTGACCAGAGATCCCCAATTTCTGGGGAAAGTACCCATTTTGGACCACCTGTCCTCGGTTAAAGCTGTCCCTGGAAATGTCCCCGATTATACCGTTTACTGTTATTACGGTAGAAAAGCACCTCAGCATAGCAGGCAGAAACAATTATTACAGAAGCATTTTGTGCTGCTGTTAACATCAAGATCGGAGGTCTTCAACAGGGGGTCCGCGACCCCCAGGGGGTCCACGGAGGTACAGCATGGGGGTCGCGAATATTTTGGTTGATTAGACTTTTTTTGTTTATATCTTCCCCCCCTGCAATTTTTCCACTGATTGAAATGTATTTAAATCCACATTAACATGAATTCAACACACTGCAGTAAACAGATAAATGGAGGCAGAAGATGTCTTTCAGTCATCAATGCACACATTCAGCAACACACCAGAGCTCTTTCAAGCTGGGCACCGTTTCATTCACAACACCTGTCCCATCAATGAGGAATCAGAATCAGAAATACTTTAATAATCCCAGGGAGAAATTACCTTCGTTACATTACTCCATCTGTAATAGAGTGACTATAGGACCAGTTTGATTTAACACAATTTCATACCATATATAATAATAATACATTTTATTTAACAGCGCTTTTCTAGACACTCAATGTCACTTTACAAATAAATAAAAAGAGAAGAAAATACAAAATACAAATATATATAATTAGGGGGTCCCTGCTCCATTTCGCCATCAGTTTGGGGGTCCTTGACCTGGAACATTGAAGACCCCTGACCAAGATGATTAAAAGGGTGCAGCGCTTGTTGGACTGTAATGATCATTATGGATCTCAGCTGCCAGAAATAGAGCGCCACACTTTTCAAACAGACAAAGAAGTAAAAGCAGAAGTTCATTATCACATCCCCACACAACTGATGGGGAGCTGCCCACTGATCTTTACTTATTCACTGGAATGCTGATTGAAAAAAAATGAAGCCACCGTCCGCCATGCTGGTACTCCCCACTCCCACTGAGACGTGCAGTAAAAATACCTACATATGCAGCATTTAGCTGCAAAAACAAGCAGTCTGCCAACTGTGTCCAGTTTTAAAAATAATCAATAAAAAGAAGTAAGACAGGACCATGGATTACCGCTGGTATGAGTAAAATAGACTCAGATTGAAACTCCTTGTAATGCAATAATCTAGTTCGGTGGTTCTCCCAGGTTCAGCAAGAGTTCATTTAAAGATGCTTTTAGAACTGATTGGTGACCTTTAGTTTATATTTAAGAACCTTAGTTATTATAAGTTGTTGTTTTTTATTTATGGTTGTGATTTATGAGCAAAGAGTTGCAGGCTTAGGTGTGCTTTTCTACTTAGTTTAGATATAAGAACATTTCTGACAAAAAAAAAATAGTAGCCAGTAAGAGGAAAACCCAGACACCATCTGCATGATCAGAAAATATCATTATACATTGGCAACGTTTAGATCTCTTACTCTCATTGTGTCATGGAGCATATGGCAGCGACCTGGTAATCCTGCTAATACCTTTAATTAAACCACTCATCTTAATGGCTGCTGTACAGCAGCAGTACGCTTAATACTACAGAAAAGTGTAGTGCAAAAACTAATAGCAACAAATCCCCTGATTATTGTAGTTTTTCTAGCCAGCTGAATATGAGCATTTCTCCCTCTCGAACTGGAACTGACTGGTGAATTTGTTTCTCCAGTTGGCACTAAAATGAAGTGGCATATTTTTTAATCTCTTAGGCTGATTGTGTCATGATGGGGAGTTCCACTTATTTCTCAGAAAGCAAATCCAGTTTTAAAACAGGATATTTTAAAGCATTTATTCCCACAGTGTATGCAGAGAAATTATCTCCTTAGAGCAGTAAAAATGAGGTACTGTCTTTTTATAGTTTCTCGGGGAACTGAAGGTAGGAGACAAGGTATTTATAAAATATACAAATATACCGTTTTTCTTATTATAGCAGACTAAATTGTTTTAGTCAAGTTAGGATGACCAAAATTATGTAATTACCTGCAAAGAGAGCGCAGTTACTGTTATGAAACTACTCAAAGACAAAAAAAGATTTTTGCAGATATATCACTCCGTCTAACAAAACCAAAACGTATTTGGTTGCTCCAACTGGTTGTTGAGTAGCAAAATGAGGAAATCATGAGAAGAGTGAATTGAGTCGTATAGTACGTTGTTGTGCTGTGAGAGAGAATATTCACAAAATTGTTGGTATAATGAAAAGGAAAAAAAGAATATATGGAAATATTGAAGAAATGTTAATGACAACATCCAGAGATTTAAGAGTTGGGCACAATTAACCCATAGACAACGGGTTTGTAGCAGCAGACATTCCTGCAGTCTGCTGTGAACAGCCCATGGAGGGAGACCCCAAACATCTAGGCCAAGATTTAAATGTAAAACCTTCAAAGACTTCAGAATTTGAATAATGTTTCTAAAAACATTTATTATTCTGGCATTTAGCCATTAGAGATATTCACAGATTGATAGTTTGGCTAGGTTTTATTACAATCAGGCTGCAAAAAAAAACAAAAAAAAAACATATTTTGTAGGGCTGAAAGAATCAGATTAATCATGCTTAATTGATTATTGAAAAAAAATCAACTAATTTAGTTATTGATTAATTGTTAACTGGATAAGAGACTCTTAAACAGGCCTTCAGCTAACAGAGCAACCCACCTTGAGCAGCAATTATACCACAATTGTAATGGAAATGTTTAAACATTTTGCATTTAAGTTAAAAAAAACAAACATCTGTCAATATGTTCGATGCAGAACTCCTCTAGAGGAAATATTTTAGTTTCACCTGGTTTAACGTCATAAAAAGACTCAAATGAACCTTTGGTTGTCCGATTATTAATGGATTAATCGAAAAAATAATCAACAGATGCATTTGCTAAATAATTGTTAGTTGAAGCCCTATTTTGTTTATTAAACACTGTGTTGGGTTATAAAGAGGCATTTTTGTAAACAAAGACTTTTCCATTTGAGGGAAAAGAAGAATGGTGTTCAGTCAGGACATTTCATCTGACCCAGACCCAGAAAAGATTTCAGGGTAATCCTATTACACCCCCCTGCAGGGATTCTCTACACTTCTTATTGCAACCAAAAATACACTGAAGTTTTTTACTTTTTCATTTAAAAAAGGATAACAATTATTTAATTTACCCTCTCATAACCCTGGAGACTCAAAGAAAACCAACAAAGGGAACAAGGGCTGCTTTTCTCCTTCAGCAAGGCCTCACTTTGGAATTTAAGCGACAGCTGCAGCAGACTCCTTTATCGTCCGACTGCATTATTTTAAGTTGGGCAGAAGAAACCAATCACAGCTGTCAAGGTTGCAAACCACTAGGATGTTTTATTAAGTGCATAAAGAGAGAAAGCACTAAACAACATTTACAGA